TTGTCTTTAAGGGACATGAAGCCTTTATCTATTTGCATCTATTCTGTCACCTATCTATCAAAAGTTTGCTTATTCTTTATTGTTTGCTAGTACTTGTGTTGTATTACAACTACTGAAAAAATACCCATGTCAGTTCTGGATAGCATAAAAAGATAATCAAATCACAAGAATTTGCAAGGTAACATATGGAATGTAAAATCAGTAAGACATATCACATTCAGAAAGTAGAAGAGAAAATGTTATTGTCAATTAAAGAAAAATACCTCAGACTCTCCAATATTTAAGAAAGTACAAATGAATATACATTGTCCATAATATGACCAAGTAATATAAAGTTTAGCTATATCAGGGGTTGACTAGTGAAATTCTTGTTCTTAATTACTGGACTTTGATCATTGTTGATGTGGAAAATTTGGAGACTACACATGTCAGTGGTTCAGTTCTTGAACAGGAATGGACAGGTATGTATTTGTGATGCAGTTTTGATAATGTAACTTTCAGCTGGGAATGTCACATTTTGACATACTTTGGAATTATATAATGATCTATCTACACCCTTTCACTAAACATTATTTCCTTCTTTTTTTTCCTTTACACTGATAACAATCAATTACCAGCCCCTGTGCATGTCACACAATCACTCTAACACTTATCCATATACCTAAAAACTACTGTTAATTATCTAAGAGAAACACCTACCTACATATGTCAATAAACCTTCATCTAAATGGTCATACTAAAATTAGTCATATTAACAAAAACTTCAGAGTAACTATATGACCATTTGTAGACACTTACATACTTCCAATGTGTTTAGACTTTCACAACAGAATGCTAAATGTTGTCAAAATAGAGTAATGTATTAGGATAAACAGAGACAAATAAATTATTGAATAAAATTTTTATAAGATTATATAATTATGTTCTCTCTATACTTAAAACCACATTTAATGACTAAAGGATTTTATACATTGTTGATATTTGTTGGAGACTTTTGTATTCATACATAGAAAAATCTTTCACTATATACACATATATTTACATATATATTTCAACATTAAACAAATAGATTTAGTATAAGAATAAGACCTGGAACTCAATGTAACTACACTTTTAAGGAATCAAATGGAACATTATTCAGATGTGACAAGTGATAAATATAATCATTAGGAATTTTACCCCTGAAACTTTAAAGACAGAACTGCAAGAAGTCTGCTTAGCACACAGTGCAGAAAGGTAAGAGATTTCAGGCCCAAAAATATACTAAAACACTTCAGGTCTGTACAGTTCCTGTTGTCCAATAGGTACGTAGATAAGTAGTCCCCAGAACATGAAGTCCTAGTCCACAACTCTCTAGTTCCCCTGTACTGGTTCTGTCAAGTAAGCAATCTCCAAGCCATCAATCTCAGCCTCACACACCCACACTATCAACTAACTCCTATGGGATTTGAGAGAAACCTGGTGCTAGGAAAATTCCCAAGAATCGACAATAATGACCCTAGGTAAGACTCCTAGCAAGAGTCGAGTGGGAGTCCTAAGTGAACTTCCCCTGTAATCAGATTGGTTAATACTTCAACTATTGTCATAGAGCCATCATCCAGCAACTAAGAGAACCAGATGCAGAGATCTACAACCACGCACCAGGCAAAGCTTTGGAAATCCAATCAAAGAAAGGGAGGAGAGAATATACAAACAAGGGAGGTCAAGATAATGATGGAGAAATTTACAGAAATAAACTGAACCAAGCTCATGGAAACTCATGAACTCTAGACTAATAGTTGTGGAGCCTCCATGAGAAAAACTAGGCCCTCCATATATGGGAGACAGTGGTGAAGCTTGGACCACCAGTGAGGCACCTGGCAGTAGGAAAAGGATCTTTCCCTGGTACATGAGCTAGCTTGTTCTAGCCCCTTCCTTATGGTGGGATGCTCAACTCAGCCTTAATTTAGTGGAGAGGGCCTTGGCAATGCTCTAACTTAATGTGCCAAGCAGACTTTTTTTTTTGACCTCCCATGGAATCCCTTACCTGTTGGGAGGTGTGGGTAGGGGATAGGCTGAGGGAGATATGGGGGATGAGATCTGTGGATGGAATGTAAAATGAAATTAAAATTAAAAAAAATTCTAAAACTAATGTCATGATTTTAAAAGTTATATCCCATGAAATTAGGAAATCTGAAAGATAAGGAAAAATATTAGATGCCTAAACATACCAAACTTAATCAAGGTACTCTATTTTTATTCAATATATTGAGAAAAGTCATCATACCCAATTTCAAATTACATAATGGAATCATGGGAATAAAACAACATAGTACTGGAACAAAGACAGACATATAGATTGATGGAGCAGAATAAAATAGAAGACCCATATAACAGTCCATGTAACTATAATACCTAATATTAAAACATGCCAAAAATACTCACTGAAGAAAAAATAACTTCTTCAGAAATAATGGTGTTGGAAAAAATTAATTTCTATATTCAAAGAACTGAAATTAACTTCTCATCTCTCACCATGTACAAAATATAGCCCCCAAAATCAAGGAACTCAACATAAGCCTTAATCCTTTGATACTGGTAGTGGGAAAAAATCTGGGAATGTCCAATTTATAGGTACCGGTAAGGACTTTTATTTTATTTGCACAGAAAATAGTGTAGAAACTGTACTTCATGAAACCACAAAGCATCACAGTTTCCTTTTCTATAAATTAGTAGAATGAGATAGTGTAGAAATGAACAGAAAACTCCCAAAAGACTTGAAAATTTCTACTAAACACTTTAGATAGTACTCTATATCCTTAGCCATTAAGGGAATGAAAATTTAATCTACTTCATTATTTTACGTCACACAAGTCAGAATGACCATAATCATAAATATAAATGACAACAGCTCTTAGCATTGGTGTAATGATTAAATAACTCTTTCACACTGTTGGTAGAAGTGTAAACTAGCACCTATACACTAGAAATAACACTTGGCTTCTCAAAACACCAATTACAAACTAGAAATTAAAATTCTATGTGCCCCAGCTTTACCACTCCTGTATATATTTCTAATATCCTACTACAAAGATACTTCTACATTCATGCTAAATGTTGCTTTATTCATATTTGCTAGGAAATGGTATCAACGTAAATGTCCACTGTCAGATTAAAAGCCAAGAAAATTATGACATGTATACCCAATGGAAAATTACTCACCTATAAAGAAAAATACATTATGAAAACTGCAGGTAAATAGATGTAATTGTAACAAAAATTATACTGAGTGAGATAATTCAGGTCTAGAAAAATGAATGTCTATTATCTCTCTCATATGTGAATCTTATCTTCAAGTCTTTTGTGTATTTTACTTGGAGCACAATTGAAATGCAGAAAATAAGAAAGGGGCTTTTGGGGGAGAGACAGGTTAAGAGAAGTGCAGTAATAGATTATAGCTAAAAGTAGTGAGGAGGAACATTGGGGATGGAAAGGCTAAAGCAAGAAGTCTGACTATATGGGTGAAATAAGAGTATAAAGAGTGCAAAAAAAAAGTCATGTCAAAGCCTAAAATCTCACAACCTAAATATAAAAAAAATATTAAGTGAAAGGATAGCAGAACACATCTGAAGAGAAGTGACACCAAGTGATAAAGGTTTAACTACTCTAATAAAGGTAATGAGTAGCCCAAGTGTAGAAGTTTGAAAGAAAATGGTCCTCATAAGTCCATAGGGAGTGACACTTAGGAGGCATGGTCTTGTGGAGCAAGTGTGGCTTTGTTGGAGGATGTACATGACTAGGGGGTGGGTTTTGAGGTCTCAGAAGCTCAAACCAATTCACTTCCTGCTGTCTTCAGAACTTTCAGCTCCTCTAGCATCAGTCTACCTAAATGCCACCATGATTCCCATCATCATGATAATGGACTAAATTCCTGAAACGCTAAGACAACCTCAATAAAATGTTTTCCTTTATAAGAGTTGCTGTGGTCATAGTGTCTATTCACAGCAATGGGAACCCTAACTAATATACAGGTCTATAGACACAAACAAAAATATTTAGAAAACACCTTGACAAAACCTTTGGTAAAGTAGCAATAGAAGGGTCCATATTAGGGACTATGTCCTCCAAAACCATTGACTTTTTTACCAAGACTACAGTACTGGTCATGAAAATCCTTTCAGTGGAACAAGCCTCAGCTCTAAGCCAAAAAAAAAAAAAAAAAAAAAAAAAAAAAAAAACTAGGTAACAGCAATCAGCACCAAAATACAGATTGAAACTGTTCAATATTGAGGATTTCTCCCTTGTAATTCCTCCATTCTCAGAAGTTCTTTTCTCACTTTTCCTCAATAAATATACATTTTCTCTGAAAGAAAATATCAATTACTTGTAGATATTGAAACTTGAGAAGGAAGAAAACAGATTTGCTGAACCCATGCTGAGAAGTGTAGAGGAGTCAGTTTTCATATAGAAATTTCTATTTATGAGATAGCAGAAGTTGCCATAAGAATAAAACTGATACAAAATTGTACACTAAAAAACAGCACTATAAAACAGTTTTTTTTTTTAAAGGCACTTTCCACAATATTCATATTATGGGCCATGAATACATCTCCATGAACTTAGAGAGACAGGTATTTTGCATAGATTAGTTGTCTCTTCACAGTGAAATTAAATAAACTAAAAGTTAAATAATCAGGAAAATAAATACTAAGATACTGGGTAATCTGATTTGTAATAAATACTGAGTACAGGAAGTAAATAAGAAATATTAAGAAACCTATAGAATTGAATGAAGTTGCAAAATTGTAAAATTGGCAGGGTATAAAGTAAAGATTAAAGTAAGATCAAAATTATCTAAACCCACACTTTGTGAAAGCTAAAAAAAAAAACCCTTTTAAGCATAGAGAAAAGACAAAATATCAAGAATTCTTAACCTTCAGTTGAAGACTGAAAAAATTCATGTGTAAGTATAAAATTCTAGTCAAATTTATAAAAGGAAACAAAAATTTACCAAGAGCAATTCACAATAGAATGATGACATGAAAAAAGTCAATAAGCTGAAAAGGTAAGCAAGAAATATTATAACAATAATTTTTAATACAATGTGATTTTTATTAAGACTATCTCTACCAGATGCTTTTTATTATACCAGAAAATATAATCATTGTTGCACAAATTTAAAAAAAATTAAACAAAATCAATGAATTTTTGCAATCAAAACATCCAAGAAGAATACATATTGAATAGCATCTCCTTTACTCAATAGACACCAAAACGGCTACTTAGCTAAGTGTAGTTCAGTATTAGAGTATCCGTATAATAGGCATAATTTCCTAGTAATAGACAAAATTTCCAAGGTTTGATCTCTAGCATGAGATATATATTATCTAAGTATACACTAACGCATAATTTGTTTGTGAAAAAATATTTTAGAAATAACTATTGAGTATTTACTGTTCATTTAAGTAATGTATGCAAACAGGATGGAGAAAGGCTACCTTAAGTGCTTTACCGTTTCTAACAAGACATTCTGTCTCAGAGAGCGAATATTTTGCAATTACGGAAATCATTGAGTATAAGTACGTTATGGTTGTATAAAGGGCTATCCAGTACAGACTTGTAGTAGTTGTATTTTATTTTTTAAAGCATTACTGTGTTTGAACCACTCAATCAAAAATTTTCAATGTTTTTTCTCAATATTCCTTCATGAAGAAATGTTCTTATTATTATAATACCAACGTGTATTTCAAATGGTGTTTGATATCTCTTTGTCCCTTACCTTTTCATCTAGTCCAGTCTGTAAAGTATCTTTGTTGATAGATATATGAAAGCACAATTTTACCTTTCAAGCTTTCAAAACAACTGAAGAAGGCAGATTCTTGGAATTGCTGATTTGTCTCAATATGAAGTGAAAAGCTGAAAATAAAAATGGTAATTTTCCATTACCAGAAAGTTAAGAAACATCTTGATGGCTCTGTATTAAAATGTCATTAAATCAAATAAATGTCATTAACATATATGTATTCATGTATGTATGTATAATATATATATATATATACATATGTACATGTGTACATAATGAGACTTTGGAGTGAAAAATGGCCTCTTTTCCAAGTAAAGTAGAAAATACATATCAAATTTAGGTAAAAAATTGTCACTACACAATCCTTTTACCATAAAGATATAAAAAGATTCCCTCTGATTTTGCTATGCTCAATAAAGATGATTCATGTGTGACACACGGGTTTCCTAAATACTCTCAAAAAGTAAAATGTAGCTGGACAGTACTAGTGCATGCCTTTAATCTCAGCACTTGGGAGGCAGAGGCAGGCAGATCTCTATGAGTTCAAGGCCAGCCTGGTCTACAAGAGCTAGTTCCAGGACAGCCAGGACTATTACACAGAGAAACACTGTCCCCACAAAACAAAACAAAACAAAACAAAAAAATTAGTAAAATGTTACAGTAAGTTGCAAAGTAGAAAGAAATGTGCACTTCTTTCTAGGTATAAACTATTCACATTGTTAAACTAATGGTTTATTTACTTTCAAATTTATCACCATTTTCAAAAACTCATTTGGCTTTAAATCTGTGTGACCAAAAAGATAGCAAAACATTTCTTTTACAAAAATTTCCTTTGAGCTGGGAGGCGCACGCGCCGGCAGACGGAGCTGGGAGGCGCACGCGCCGGCAGACGGAGCTGGGAGGCGCACGCGCCGGCAGACGGAGCTGGGAGGCGCACGCGCCGGCAGACGGAGCTGGGAGGCGCACGCGCCGGCAGACGGAGCTGGGAGGCGCACGCGCCGGCAGACGGAGCTGGGAGGCGCACGCGCCGGCAGACGGAGCTGGGAGGCGCACGCGCCGGCAGACGGAGCTGGGAGGCGCACGCGCCGGCAGACGGAGCTGGGAGGCGCACGCGCCGGCAGACGGAGCTGGGAGGCGCACGCGCCGGCAGACGGAGCTGGGAGGCGCACGCGCCGGCAGACGGAGCTGGGAGGCGCACGCGCCGGCAGACGGAGCTGGGAGGCGCACGCGCCGGCAGACGGAGCTGGGAGGCGCACGCGCCGGCAGACGGAGCTGGGAGGCGCACGCGCCGGCAGACGGAGCTGGGAGGCGCACGCGCCGGCAGACGGAGCTGGGAGGCGCACGCGCCGGCAGACGGAGCTGGGAGGCGCACGCGCCGGCAGACGGAGCTGGGAGGCGCACGCGCCGGCAGACGGAGCTGGGAGGCGCACGCGCCGGCAGACGGAGCTGGGAGGCGCACGCGCCGGCAGACGGAGCTGGGAGGCGCACGCGCCGGCAGACGGAGCTGGGAGGCGCACGCGCCGGCAGACGGAGCTGGGAGGCGCACGCGCCGGCAGACGGAGCTGGGAGGCGCACGCGCCGGCAGACGGCGCTGGGAGGCGCAGGCAGGCAACGACGGCTGTCGCCGAGACTGGAGGGGACCAGCGCGGCGGCAGAGGTCGCAGGCGGCAGGGACCAGCGCGCAACACCGAGAGCAGATCGCCCCACTACAATTAAATCAAAGAGGTAGGCCTTTGGTTGGCGAGGGCCCTGGCAAACGGGGAGCCGGGACCGGTTCCGGAAAACCCTTCTTAGGGGTGAGAGGGTTCTTGGCCCCCAGCAGGAGCCAGGAAACAGAGCGAGGGCAATTAGTAAGAGAAGCCTCTGGCCAGCAGAGAAACCTGATCTGATTTTAAAAGACCAATTAGATAGCATTGAAAGGAGGAGATGGGCAGGCGCCAAGGCAGAACATCACCCATTAATCAGAAAAACAACATGAAAACACCAGATCCCAAAGATCTTACAACAGAAAGATTTGAACACCCTAACACAGAAGAAGTGGAAAAAATTGACTTTATGAAAGCAATAGAATCCCTTAAAAAATATGTAATAAACACCCTTATAGAAATGGATGAGAAGAATAACAAAAAGTTCGAAGAATTAAGTAAATATGTACATGAGACCCTGGGAAACCAAGAAAAAACGATCAAACAGGTAATGGAAACAGTGCAAGAATTGAAAACTGAAAGGGAAGCAAGGAAGAGAACACAAAGGGAAGAACAGCTGGATATGGAAAATCTAGGCCAACGAGCAGAGTCTACAGAAACAAGCATAATCAATAGACTACAAGAGATAGAAGAAAGAATCTCAGATGCTGAGGACACCATAGAGAAAATAAATGCACTGATCAAAGAAAACAGCAAAGCCAACAAATTCTCATCACAAAACATTCAAGAAATATGGGACACAATAAAAAGACCAAACCTAAGAATTATAGGAATAGAAGAAGGAGAAGAATCACAGCTCGAAGGCCCAGAAAATATTTTTAACAAAATTATGGAAGAAAACTTTCCCAACATAAAGAAAGTTATCCCCTTGAATATTCAAGAAGCATACAGAACACCAAACAGACTGGATCAAAGAAAAACTTCCCCTCGCCATATAATAATCAAAACACAAAATAGACAGGTTAAAGAAAGAATATTAAGAGCTGCAAAGGAAAAAGGCCAAGTAACCTATAAAGGTAAACCGATCAGAATTACACCTGACTTCTCTATGGAAACCATGAAAGCCAGAAGGTCCTGGATAGAGGTACTTCAAAAGCTAAGAGACCATGGATGCAAACCCAAACTTCTGTACCCTGCCAAGCTAGTGTTCACTATCAATGGAGAAAACAAGACATTCCAGGATAAGAACAAATTTAAACAATACGTAGCCACAAATCCAGCTCTACAGAAAGTAATAGAAGGAAAATCGCAACCCAAGGAATCCAACAATGCCAACACTGACTACAATAACTCAGGCATCTAGTGAACCTTCACCAGCACAACTCAAAGAAGGGACACACACACAAACTCTACTACCAAAAAAACAATAAGAATAACCGGAGTAAACAACAATTGGTCATTAATATCACTTAATATTAATGGTCTCAATTCACCTATAAAAAGGCACAGGCTAAGAGATTGGATACGAAAACAGGATCCAACATTCTGCTGTTTGCAAGAAACACATCTCAACCACAAAGACAGGCATCTACTCAGAGTAAAAGGTTGGGAAAAGGTCTTTCAAGCAAATGGTCCTAAGAAAAAAGCAGGTGTGGCCGTACTAATTTCCAACAAAACGGACTTCAAACTAAAATCAATCAGAAGAGATCGAGAAGGACACTTTATACTCATAACAGGAACAATTCATCAGGATGACATCTCAATTCTGAATATCTATGCCCCTAATATAAAAGCACCCACTTATATAAAAGAAATATTACTAGAACTCAAGGCAGACATCAAACCACACACACTAATAGTAGGAGACTTCAACACACCTCTCTCTCCAATGGACAGGTCAATCAGACAGAAACCTAATAGAGAATTAAGAGAATTACTGGAGGTAATGAAACAAATGGACTTAACAGACATCTATAGAACACTCCACCCAAATAGGAAAGAATATACCTTCTTCTCTGCAGCTCATGGAACCTTCTCAAAAATTGACCATATACTCGGAAACAAAGGAAGCCTCCACAGATACAAAAGAATATCAGTGTCCACCTGTGTCTTATCAGATCACCACGGATTAAAGTTAGAAGGCAACAACAATGCTGCCCCCAGAAAGCCGACAAACTCATGGAAACTGAACAATCAACTACTGAACCACACCTGGGTGAAGGAAGAAATTAAGAAGGAAATTAAAGTCTTCCTTGAATTTAATGAAAATAAAGAGACAACATACTCAAACCTATGGGACACGATGAAAGCAGTGCTAAGAGGAAAGTTCATAGCACTAAGTGCCCACTTAAAGAAAACGGAGAAAGCATACATTGGGGACTTAACAGCACACCTGAAAGCTTTAGAAAAAAAAGAAGCAGATGTGCCCAGAAGGAGTAGAAGACTGGAAATAATCAAACTGAGGGCAGAAATCAACAAAATAGAAACACAGAAAACAGTCCAAAGAATCAATGAAACAAAAAGTTGGTTCTTGGAGAAAATCAACAAGATAGACAAACCCCTATCCAAACTAATTAAACAACAGAGGGAGAACACGCAAATAAATAAGATCAGAAATGAAAAGGGGGACATAACCACAGACACAGAGGAAATTCAGAGAATCATTAGATCTTACTACAGGAGCCTGTATGCCACAAAACTGGAAAATACAAAAGAAATGGACATCTTTTTAGATAAGTACCATATACCAAAGCTAAACCAAGACCAGGTGAAAGATCTAAATAGACCTGTTAGTCGCGAAGAACTTGAAGCAGTTATCAAAAATCTGCCCTCTAAAAAAAGCCCAGGACCAGATGGTTTCAATGCAGAATTCTACCAGAACTTCCAAGAAGAGCTAATACCTATTCTCCTTAATGTATTTCACAGTATAGAAACAGAAAAGTCATTGCCAAATTCCTTTTATGAAGCTACAGTTACCCTGATACCAAAACCACACAAAGACCCAACCAAGAAAGAGAACTACAGGCCTATCTCACTCATGAATATCGACGCAAAAATTCTTAATAAAATACTGGCAAACCGAATTCAAGAACACATTAGAAAAATTATCCATTATGATCAAGTAGGCTTCATCCCAGAGATGCAGGGCTGGTTCAACATACGCAAATCTATCAATGTAATCCACCATATAAATAAAATGAAAGAAAAAAACCATATGATCATTTCATTAGATGCTGAAAAAGCATTCGACAAAATCCAACACCCCTTTATGATAAAGGTATTGGAGAGACTAGGGATACAAGGGTCATACCTAAATATAATAAAAGCTATTTACAGCAAACCGACAGCTAACATTAAATTAAACGGAGAAAAACTCAAAGCCATCCCACTAAAATCAGGAACAAGACAAGGATGTCCACTCTCTCCATACCTCTTCAATATAGTGCTTGAAGTTCTAGCAATAGCAATAAGACAACATAAGGGGATCAAAGGGATTCGTATTGGAAAGGAAGAAGTTAAGCTTTCGTTATTTGCAGATGATATGATAGTATACATAAGCGACCCCAAAAACTCTACCAAAGAACTCCTACAGCTGATAAACACCTTCAGTAATGTGGCAGGATACAAGATCAACTCGAAAAAATCAGTTGCCTTCCTATACAGTAAGGATAAGGAAACAGAGAGGGAAATCAGAGAAGCATCACCTTTCATGATAGCCACAAAGAGCATAAAATATCTTGGGGTAACCCTGACCAAGGAAGTGAAAGATCTATATGACAAGAACTTTAAGACTTTGAAGAACGAAATAGAAGAAGACACCAGAAAATGGAAGGATCTCCCTTGCTCTTGGATTGGGAGGATCAACATAGTAAAAATGGCAATTCTTCCAAAAGCAATATATAGATTCAATGCAATCCCCATCAAAATCCCATCAAAATTCTTCACAGATCTGGAGAAGACAATAATCAACTTTATATGGAAAAATAAAAAACCCAGGATAGCCAAAACAATCTTATACAATAAAGGAACGTCTGGAGGCATTACCATCCCTGACTTCAAACTCTATTACAGAGCTACAGTATTAAAAACAGCTTGGTATTGGCATAAAAACAGAGAAGTCGACCAATGGAACCGTATAGAAGACCCTGACTTTAATCCACAAACCTATGAGCACCTGATTTTCGATAAAGGAGCTAAAACTATACAATGGAAAAAAGAGAGCATCTTCAACAAATTGTGCTGGCAAAACTGGATTTCAATCTGTACAAAAATGAAAATAGATCCATGTCTGTCACCATGCACAAAACTCAAGTCCAAGTGGATTAAAGACCTCAATATCAGTCTGAACACACTGAACCTGATAGGAGAGAAAGTGGGAACTACACTACAACAAGTGGGCACAGGAGACCGCTTCCTACGTATAACATCAGCAGCACAGACAGTAAGGGCCTCATTGAATAAATGGGACCTCATGAGACTGAGAAGCTTCTGTAAAGCAAAGGACACTGTCGCTAAGACAGAAAGGCAACCCACTGACTGGGAGAAGATCTTCACCAACCCCGCAACTGACAAAGGTCTGATCTCCAAAATATATAAAGAACTTAAGAAACTAGACTGTAAAAGGCTAATCAACCCAATTATAAAATGGGGCACTGAGCTGAACAGAGATCTCTCAACAGAAGAAGTTCAAATGGCCAAAAGACACCTAAGGTCATGCTCAACTTCCTTAGCGATCAGGGAAATGCAAATCAAGACAACTTTAAGATACCATCTTACACCTGTCAGAATGGCTAAAATCAAAAACACCAATGATAGCCTATGCTGGAGAGGTTGTGGAGAAAGGGGTACACTTATCCATTGCTGGTGGGAATGCAAACTTGTACAACCACTCTGGAAAGCAGTGTGGCGGTTTCTCAGAAAATTTGGGATCAACCTACCCATGGACCCAGCAATACCACTCTTGGGAATATACCCAAGAGAGGCCTTATCATGCAACAAAAATATATGCTCTACTATGTTCATAGCAGCATTGTTTGTAATAGCCAGAACCTGGAAACAACCTAGATGCCCCTCAATTGAAGAATGGATGAAGAAAGTATGGAATATATACATATTAGAGTACTACTCAGCAGTAAAAAACAAGGACTTCTTGAAGTTTGCAGGCAAATGGATGGAAATAGAAAACACTATCCTGAGTGAGGTAAGCCAGACCCAAAAAGAGGAACATGGGATGTACTCACTCATATTTGGTTTCTAGCCATAAATAAAGGACATTGAGCCTATAATTCGGGTTCTTAGAGAAGCTAAATAAGAAGGAGAACCCAAAGAAAAACATATAGGCATCCTCCTGAATATTAACCTTCATCAGGCGATGAAAGGAGACAGAGACAGAGACCCACATTGGAGCACCGGACTGAAATCTCAAGGTCCAAATCAGGAGCAGAAGGAGAGCGAGCATGAGCAAGGAACTCAGGACCGCGAGGGGTGCACCCACACACTGAGACAATGGAGATGCTCTATCGGGAACTCACCAAGGCCAGCTGACCTGGGTCTGAAAAAGCCTGGGTTAAAACCGGTCTCACTGAACATAGCGGACAATGAGGACTACTGAGACATCAAGAACAATGGCAATGGGTTTTTGATCCTACTGCATGTAGTGGCTTTGTGGGAGCCTAGGCAGTTTGGATGCTCACCTTACGAGACCTGGACGGAGGAGGGTTTTCCTCGGACTTCCCACGGGACGGAGAGCCCTGATTGCTCTTTGGGCTGACGAGGGAGGGGGAATGGATTGGGGGAGGGGGAGGGAAAGGGGAGGCG